CAGATGGGTCGGCTTGACCGGGGGAAGGACAAAGCAGCTTAATGATGCTGTGTTTCATATGGTGAATGTAGAAAACCGGATTCCTATTTTACTGGAAACGTGGACCTCTCCCTTCAGGACTAAGATGGAATGCCTCGTTTCCAGTAAAAAATGGTCACCGGATCTCTACACTCACCAAACGAAACACAGCAGTATTTAGCTAAAATAGCAGCTGGTATTCTGTGAGAGCGCGGACCTTCCCCGGTCGAGCCGACCCATTCGTGCTACAACCATAATATAGCTGCAGCGTGACTCTACCACGTACAAAAAATAGCAGCTTTATGTTTCGGTAGTGTAGCGTACCGGCGACAATTTTTACTGAAAACGAGGCAAACATTGTCAGGGGTGAAAACGAACCTGGGTTTTGATATTCAGTATCAATAAAATAAAATCGAGGATAGATGTAAATGTCTATAGCCCACAGCATCCACTTACCATCAGGTGAACTGTGTGCCCATTCGCCACCTTTATTCTATAAAATAAATGTTTCTGTTAATTTTTACGCCTTTAACCCTATGACGAGATGAAGTTTACAACACGCACATATCCACTAACGAATCAATTCAAAATAATATGACATAAAAACAAGGTAAGAGAAATGAAACAAGACTACTTTATTTTAGACGAAATAAGTTTAAATTGCGATTGTCGAAATTCTTCGTTTCTATCAAACACCGTTTCAAAATGAGGTCGTTTCTATAGAAGAAACTACACAAGTTTTCTCTTTTTTCTTGTTATTGTTTTATGATACAATAAAAATGTATTAAAGATTCGTCTATATGTATTAAATATGTTAAATATTCATCAACTAAAATCCACGTAAAAAATAAAATTAAAATGAAGTTTGAGGAGCACCTCCATTCCTCCCTCAAATAAGTAAAGGACATCGATTTTAAGTAGTTTTTTACACGTATCTTTGCTTCTTTATTTTTGATATCATTATTATCCCAATGTAACTCCCCTGATTCTATTATTAAAATGTATTTTATAAAGTAGAAATAATACCCATAACCTTCTAAAACCATGTTCTTGAAACAAAATAACTTTATAATTACAATTACAATGTTAACCTAAGCAGCACTAATTCTATATTCTCACTTGTTCAATTTCAATAGCAGTTGAGAGAAAAATTCTCATAAATCCTAAACATTATATTACATAATATATAACAAAAGTATAAAAAATTTTTGGTACAATAAGGGTGACAAACGGGCACACAGTCCACCTGATGGTAAGTGGTTGCTGCGGCCCATAGACATCTACATCTATCCTCGATTACGAATCAAAACGCAGATGCGTTGTCAACCGTGAGGACTAAGATGGAATGCCTCGTTTCTAGTAAAAAAGGGTATCCGGTGCTCTACACTCACCATACGAAACACAACAGTATTAAGCCACTATTTTACGCTTTGCCGTGTAGTGGCGGTTAAGAATATCCACTACCCCATATCTTCCCGTGGGTGTCGTAAGAGGCGACAGAGGGAGACAGGCAGGAGATGGGCAGCAGCGTCTTCCTGATGACAACTGTGACGTAATAAAAAACTGCGGTTGCCAACCCGCTCGCCAAGCGTGGCAACTATGGCAAATACCCCCCAATGAATAAATACACAAACAGACGGCCCCCAGTCCCCGGCGGCCCCGCTATTCCTGGCTACGGTGGCGAACATGGTAACGGCGGGGCAGGGGGTGCTAAGAATCTCCGGTGGAGGTTCGGTTGCCACCTACGACGACTCGACCTGGCAACATATAACGCACGCACCCTGAGGACTGACGAGAAGATACTGGAGCTGGAAGAAGAGGTAGACAAGTTGCGCTGGCATATTATTGGATTATCCGAGGTCCGAAGAGAGGGGGAGGACACGGCAATCCTCGAGTCCGGCAACTTGTTCTATCACCGGGAGGGCGACCATCTGTCCCAAGGAGGTGTCGGATTTATCGTCCACAAATCTCTCGTCAACAACGTTGTAAAGATTGGAAGTGTGTCGACGAGGGTCGCGTACCTGATACTCAGAATCACCAAACGGTATTCGCTGAAGGTCATTCAGGTTTACGCACCAACCTCGGCACATCCCGATGAGGAGGTGGAGGAAATGTATGAGGATATTTCCAGAGCCATACATTCCTCCAAAACCTACTACACGGTGTTGATGGGAGACTTCAACGCAAAACTGGGCACAAGAGAAAGCGGTGAGCTGAAGGTAGGGAAATTTGGAGTAGGGCAACGGAACCGAAGGGGCCAGCAGCTGGCCGACTTTATGGAGAAAGAGGGACTCTTTATGATGAACTCTTTCTTCCAGAAGCGGCCCCACAGGAAGTGGACCTGGTCGAGCCCCGACGGTTCGACAAAAAATGAGATTGACTTCATTATGACGACCAGACGCCAACTGTTCTGTGATGTCTCAGTGATCGCAAGGGTGAAAACTGGCAGCGATCACCGAATGGTTAAAGGCACACTGAACCTAAACGTTAAGTTGGAGAGGTCTCGTCTAATGAAGTCAACGCTCCGTCCCCCTCGTGCTCTAATCCAGAATCCCGAAACCTTTCAGCTCGAGTTACGTAACCGCTTCCAGTGCCTAGAAGATTGCAATGCAGTGGACGATATGAACGACAAGCTCGTGGAAACTGTCCATGCGGTCGGGGCTAAGTTCTGTAAGACCCGCCGCAGAAGAACACAAAAACTCTCCGATCACACTCTTAATCTCATGGCTGTTAGACAGGAGATGAGGCTGCAATCGTCAACAGATTTGACAGCATACAGGCAACTGAACAGACAGATCTCCAAATGCATACGGCGAGACTTACGCAACTTTAATACTTCTCGTATTAAAGAAGCGATCGAGCGGAACCAGGGCTCCAAAGTCTTTGCCAGAGATCTGTCTGCCAGAAAGAGCCAACTGTCAAGGCTGAAGACTGAGTGTGGCAACATCGTTTCCGGGACACCTGAGATTTTGAGTGAGATTGAGAGGTTCTATGGGCAGCTGTACAAATCATCGTTGGAGCCACACGCAAGTGTGAGTAACGATCCAAGAGCAAGTCTTATCCGACACTATTCCGATGATATCCCGGACGTCAGTCTAAGCGAGATTAGAATGGCTCTCCAGCACCTTAAAAACGGCAGGGCCCCAGGCGAGGATGGAATTACAGCGGAGCTTCTGAAAGCGGGTGGAACACCGGTACTTGAAGTCCTTCAGAAGCTCTTCAATTCCGTCCTCCATGGTGGCACTACTCCAGAGGCGTGGAGCAGAAGTGCGGTGGTCTTGTTCTTTAAGAAAGGCGACAACGCTCTCTTAAAGAACTACAGACCATTCGAGAGTCATTACGAATCGTCTCGCACGCAGACTTGACGACTTCCAGCCTCCCGAACAAGCCGGTTTCCGAAAAGGCTTCAGTACCATAGACCACATACATACCCTGCGGCAGATTGTACAGAAGACTGAAGAGTACAATCTGCCACTTTGCCTGGCGTATGTGGACTATGAGAAAGCCTTTGATTCCGTCGAAATTTGGGCGGTGCTACAGTCCCTTCAGCGGTGCCAAGTTGACTGTCGGTATATCGAAGTGCTGAAGTGTTTGTACAGTAGGGCTACGATGGCTATCCGAGTACAGAACCAGAGCTCGAAACCTATCCAACTGCAGAGAGGTGTAAGACAGGGTGACGTTATATCCCCCGAAACTCTTCACCGCTGCATTGGAAGACGTTTTCAAGCTACTGGACTGGAAAGGATACGGTATTGACATCAATGGCGAGTACATCACTCACCTTCGATTTGCCGACGATATAGTCCTTATGGCAGAATCGCTGGAGGACTTAAGCACTATGCTCAATGACCTCAATAGTGCCTCCCAACGGATAGGTCTTAAGATGAACATGGACAAAACAAAGATCATGTTCAATGTCCATGTCACACCTATGCCGGTAGTTGTTGGGAGCACTATGCTCGAAGTTGTTGACGAATACGTTTACCTGGGACAAATAGTCCGACTAGGTAAGTCCAACTTCGACCGAGAGGTCAATCGACGGATTCAACTCGGCTGGGCAGCGTTCGGGAAATTACGGCATATCTTTTCGTCAGGTATACCTCAATCTCTAAAAACTAGATTGTACAACCAGTGCGTGTTGCCAGTGATGACTTACGGATCTGAGACGTGGTCCTTCACTGCTGGCCGTATGAGGACGCTTAAGGTCGCTCAGCGAGCTATGGAGAGGGCTATGCTCGGAGTTTCTCTGCGTGATAGACTCAGAAATGAGGATATCCGCAGTAAAACCAGAGTGACCGACATAGCCCAACGGATTAGTAAGCTGAAGTGGCAATGGGCCGGCCATATAGCTCGAAGAACCGATAACCGATGGGGAAGAAAGGTTCTCGAGTGGCAGCCCTCGTACCGGTAGGCGTAGTGTAGGGCGACCCCCCACTAGATGGAGTGACGACCTGGTAAGACATGCAGGAAGTCGATGGATGCAGGTGGCTCAGGACCGTGCTTTGTGGCATTACTTGGGGGAGGCCTATGTTCAGCAGTGGACTTGTGAAGGGCTGTAATGATGATGATGATGATGATTTTACGCTGGTATTCTGTGAGAGCGTGGTCCTTCCCCGGTCGAGCCAACACATTCGTGCTACAACTATACTACTAATATAACTGCAGCATGGCTCTACCATGTAAAAATCTTGTATGTATGGTTAAAAAACAACTCAATATGTTTAAAAATATCTGATTGAAAAATTTTAATGGGTAATTTTTTAACTTTCCTTAACTTTAACTTGCTTTATATATATATATATATATATATATATATATATATATATATATATATATATAAAAACCGCGGTCGTGCCGTTTTTGAGTTTTAGCGAGACTAACGGACAACAATTGATTTTTATATATAGAGATTCCAGTTTGCAAGATTACAAAGAGTTCTGCTTATACCTGTTTAAAATGCAAAATATATAAGCACTACATACCCCAATAGCGCCGTGGTTGCCCAAGAAACGTTTCTGTTTCCCATCGACCTGGCAGGCTAGCGAATTCAGCAAATAGATGGCGATACGCTGCACAAAACCTTCTTGATTGACATCAGCAATCCACTACCCCATATCTTCCCGTGGGTGTCGTAAGAGGCGACAGAGGGAGACAGGCAGGAGATGGGCAGCAGCGTCTTCCTGATGACAACTGTGACGTAATAAAAAACTGCGGTTGCCAACCCGCTCGCCAAGCGTGGCAACTATGGCAAATACCCCCCAATGAATAAATACACAAACAGACGGCCCCCAGTCCCCGGCGGCCCCGCTATTCCTGGCTACGGTGGCGAACATGGTAACGGCGGGGCAGGGGGTGCTAAGAATCTCCGGTGGAGGTTCGGTTGCCACCTACGACGACTCGACCTGGCAACATATAACGCACGCACCCTGAGGACTGACGAGAAGATACTGGAGCTGGAAGAAGAGGTAGACAAGTTGCGCTGGCATATTATTGGATTATCCGAGGTCCGAAGAGAGGGGGAGGACACGGCAATCCTCGAGTCCGGCAACTTGTTCTATCACCGGGAGGGCGACCATCTGTCCCAAGGAGGTGTCGGATTTATCGTCCACAAATCTCTCGTCAACAACGTTGTAAAGATTGGAAGTGTGTCGACGAGGGTCGCGTACCTGATACTCAGAATCACCAAACGGTATTCGCTGAAGGTCATTCAGGTTTACGCACCAACCTCGGCACATCCCGATGAGGAGGTGGAGGAAATGTATGAGGATATTTCCAGAGCCATACATTCCTCCAAAACCTACTACACGGTGTTGATGGGAGACTTCAACGCAAAACTGGGCACAAGAGAAAGCGGTGAGCTGAAGGTAGGGAAATTTGGAGTAGGGCAACGGAACCGAAGGGGCCAGCAGCTGGCCGACTTTATGGAGAAAGAGGGACTCTTTATGATGAACTCTTTCTTCCAGAAGCGGCCCCACAGGAAGTGGACCTGGTCGAGCCCCGACGGTTCGACAAAAAATGAGATTGACTTCATTATGACGACCAGACGCCAACTGTTCTGTGATGTCTCAGTGATCGCAAGGGTGAAAACTGGCAGCGATCACCGAATGGTTAAAGGCACACTGAACCTAAACGTTAAGTTGGAGAGGTCTCGTCTAATGAAGTCAACGCTCCGTCCCCCTCGTGCTCTAATCCAGAATCCCGAAACCTTTCAGCTCGAGTTACGTAACCGCTTCCAGTGCCTAGAAGATTGCAATGCAGTGGACGATATGAACGACAAGCTCGTGGAAACTGTCCATGCGGTCGGGGCTAAGTTCTGTAAGACCCGCCGCAGAAGAACACAAAAACTCTCCGATCACACTCTTAATCTCATGGCTGTTAGACAGGAGATGAGGCTGCAATCGTCAACAGATTTGACAGCATACAGGCAACTGAACAGACAGATCTCCAAATGCATACGGCGAGACTTACGCAACTTTAATACTTCTCGTATTAAAGAAGCGATCGAGCGGAACCAGGGCTCCAAAGTCTTTGCCAGAGATCTGTCTGCCAGAAAGAGCCAACTGTCAAGGCTGAAGACTGAGTGTGGCAACATCGTTTCCGGGACACCTGAGATTTTGAGTGAGATTGAGAGGTTCTATGGGCAGCTGTACAAATCATCGTTGGAGCCACACGCAAGTGTGAGTAACGATCCAAGAGCAAGTCTTATCCGACACTATTCCGATGATATCCCGGACGTCAGTCTAAGCGAGATTAGAATGGCTCTCCAGCACCTTAAAAACGGCAGGGCCCCAGGCGAGGATGGAATTACAGCGGAGCTTCTGAAAGCGGGTGGAACACCGGTACTTGAAGTCCTTCAGAAGCTCTTCAATTCCGTCCTCCATGGTGGCACTACTCCAGAGGCGTGGAGCAGAAGTGCGGTGGTCTTGTTCTTTAAGAAAGGCGACAACGCTCTCTTAAAGAACTACAGACCATTCGAGAGTCATTACGAATCGTCTCGCACGCAGACTTGACGACTTCCAGCCTCCCGAACAAGCCGGTTTCCGAAAAGGCTTCAGTACCATAGACCACATACATACCCTGCGGCAGATTGTACAGAAGACTGAAGAGTACAATCTGCCACTTTGCCTGGCGTATGTGGACTATGAGAAAGCCTTTGATTCCGTCGAAATTTGGGCGGTGCTACAGTCCCTTCAGCGGTGCCAAGTTGACTGTCGGTATATCGAAGTGCTGAAGTGTTTGTACAGTAGGGCTACGATGGCTATCCGAGTACAGAACCAGAGCTCGAAACCTATCCAACTGCAGAGAGGTGTAAGACAGGGTGACGTTATATCCCCGAAACTCTTCACCGCTGCATTGGAAGACGTTTTCAAGCTACTGGACTGGAAAGGATACGGTATTGACATCAATGGCGAGTACATCACTCACCTTCGATTTGCCGACGATATAGTCCTTATGGCAGAATCGCTGGAGGACTTAAGCACTATGCTCAATGACCTCAATAGTGCCTCCCAACGGATAGGTCTTAAGATGAACATGGACAAAACAAAGATCATGTTCAATGTCCATGTCACACCTATGCCGGTAGTTGTTGGGAGCACTATGCTCGAAGTTGTTGACGAATACGTTTACCTGGGACAAATAGTCCGACTAGGTAAGTCCAACTTCGACCGAGAGGTCAATCGACGGATTCAACTCGGCTGGGCAGCGTTCGGGAAATTACGGCATATCTTTTCGTCAGGTATACCTCAATCTCTAAAAACTAGATTGTACAACCAGTGCGTGTTGCCAGTGATGACTTACGGATCTGAGACGTGGTCCTTCACTGCTGGCCGTATGAGGACGCTTAAGGTCGCTCAGCGAGCTATGGAGAGGGCTATGCTCGGAGTTTCTCTGCGTGATAGACTCAGAAATGAGGATATCCGCAGTAAAACCAGAGTGACCGACATAGCCCAACGGATTAGTAAGCTGAAGTGGCAATGGGCCGGCCATATAGCTCGAAGAACCGATAACCGATGGGGAAGAAAGGTTCTCGAGTGGCAGCCTCGTACCGGTAGGCGTAGTGTAGGGCGACCCCCCACTAGATGGAGTGACGACCTGGTAAGACATGCAGGAAGTCGATGGATGCAGGTGGCTCAGGACCGTGCTTTGTGGCATTACTTGGGGGAGGCCTATGTTCAGCAGTGGACTTGTGAAGGGCTGTAATGATGATGATGATGATGATTTTACGCTGGTATTCTGTGAGAGCGTGGTCCTTCCCCCGGTCGAGCCGACCCATTCGTGCTACAACTATACTACTAATATAACTGCAGCATGGCTCTACCACGTAAAAATCTTGTATGTATAGTTAAAAAGCAACTCAATAGCAAAAATGTTTAAAAATATCTGATTGAAAAATTTTAATGGGTAATTTTTTAACTTTCCTTAACTTTAACTTGCTTTATATATATATATATATATATATATATATATATATATATATATATATATATATATATACATAAAAACCTCGGTCGTGCCGTTTTTGAGTTTTAGCGAGACTAACGGACAACAATTGATTTTTATATATAGAGATTCCAGTTTGCAAGATTACAAAGAGTTCTGCTTATACCTGTTTAAAATGCAAAATATATAAGCACTACATACCCCAATAGCGCCGTGGTTGCCCAAGAAACGTTTCTGTTTCCCATCGACCTGGCAAGCTAGCGAATTCAGCAAATAGATGGCGATACGCTGCACAAAACCTTCTTGATTGACATCAGCAACACCATTTAGCAGGATCTGGACCACTCGCTCGTATTCGAACAGCTAGGAAGGAAAGACTTGTATTTATTATAATAATATACTTTTATGACATTCATAAACAATCATAAATATCCTGCCACTAGACACATGACTATAAATTCTGCAGTTAACAACTCAACTGCCTTGGAAGTTACAGTTTTTTGCAACTATGGCAAAAATTGCAAAAAACTAAATAGAGTAAATGGGACCCTACACTCTATTGTAAAAAGTCAGAATGCGTCAAAAAAGGCACGTATGGCAATTCACAATGCTATGTTGGTCCCTACTTTAACGTATGGTAGTGAAAGTGGATGTGGCATAAGAAGCACGAGATTAGAAATAACGCAGTAGAAATGCGGTCGTTAAGGAGTATGTTAGGGCTGAATCTGAATGACAGAGTGAGAACTTGTGTGATAAGTGAAGAGTGTGGTTTGCAAGATGATGTTGTGACCAGGATTAAGAAAAGAATGCTTCGGTGGTTTGGTCATGTGGAAAAATGAGTGAGGAAAGAGTGACAAAGAAAATTTACGTTGCGGAAATGAATGGCAGAGTCGAAAAGGGACGTCCTAGGCGAAAATTTATCGACCAAATTGGTGATTTATTGAAAACGGGCCAAATTAGGAGTACCCTTAACCGACGAGCATGTACGCGTAGGTATACGGATGTGAAGGAGACGAGAGAGGTCTGTCAAGATCGTGCCAAATGGAAATCTGTAGTCTCTGCTTACCCCTCTGGGTGACAGGCGTGAGTGTTTATGTTTATGTATTTTATGAACAACCGGAGAAGTCTTGTTGGGATCGACTTCAGGTTGTTGGGTACTACAAAAATTAGGAAAAAGCTAGGTCCATTAGCTACCATAGCGCCATCTCTGTACCATTCTCTCATCTATACGAGTATTTTGGTCATTAAGGAACAATTACATATCCATTGTCGTGTTTCATATGTAAATGAATTAACAGTTGGTATAACTACATGATATAAGGCATGTTTTGTACTTAGATAACAACCACCTAAAGTCAATCTTTAGAGTTAATTACAAGTGCCAATGTGCCAAAGCTAAGTCACACATTCATCTCGCATTCATCATACGATTCATCACACGATTTCATCTTGGCTTTTCATTGCATTACAAATGTTTTAAACAATTCGATAGTATATGCATTTACTGAATTGTCACATTAATTATTTTCGTTTATAAAAAATTTTGACTCCATAAATGTCTTCTGCATCCTGGAAGTTTTACAAACTGTACATGGTATTATACATATAGTAAAAATTATTCAAACAGCTTTTTTATTAGGCTCTGACAACACATAAAATAAAAATATAATATTAAGACTCACCACATCAACTGGTATCTTGAACTGACAAAGTGTGAGGCAACCATTCCTCATCATGGTGTCATCTCCTAGATGTGCTTCCATACCATCGAGCAACGCGGTTATTATACGACGCTTTAATTTAATGCCAATGCGTGCCTTCTCCCTTCCTTTGACAATATAGAAGAGGGTAGCACTAAAAAATAACAGGGTTTCAAATTTAAATACAAAACTTTTAATTTAGGCTAGTATATATAGTTCTAAATCTATATGGTTCAGAAAGCAAAACATACATTTTCTAGGAGTTGAAATAGATCAACATTTAATCTGGAAGGCACATAATGCAAAAATATAAAAGTGTATGTTACGCATTGTCCATCCTGGCAGAGACTACATATATGTGTTACTAGAAATGCCTTTTTGGAAGCGTTTATCCACTCCTAACTTACGGTATCATATTCTGGGGAAACTCAACATATATACAATCCACATTCGTTCTCCAGAAAAAATGTCTTAGAACAATATATAACATGCATAGTATCATATCATTAAGAGATGTTTTCAGAACAAAGGGTTTCCTAACATTGACTTGAATCTTTATCCTGGAATTATGTCTATTTGTTAAAAACAATATGCAATATTTTAATTTGAAATCTGATTCAAAGAAAAACATTCGCAATCAATATAAATATGATATAAGCTATAAATATGAAAAAAAAAATATATATAAATATGATATATTATTAAAAATATGATTTACTATAAAAGTACCTACATTACTGCTATTCCTGTATACAATCAGTTACCACCAGAATTAAATGGAAATATGTTCAAAACAAAATTAAAGAAATTGTTAATTGAAAATGTGTTTTACAATCACAATGAGTTTTTTTAATAAAATTAATGTTAGTAAGTAGTAAATTTTAAATTTATTAAAAGCCTAAAACTGTATGTTTTTGTACTAAGATCATATTGTACACAGTTATGCAATAAATGTATTTTATCTTTATCATTAAACCATCTCTAAGGAATACCGGCAAGAAATTCTTTGATTTTTTTAAAATAACATGCTAAAGTTCTATTTACAATCTTAGTTGTATAATAATATTTTTTAAATGTCCATTTCGTTTACAATACATCAGTGTTCAGGGGAATTTTAAATGCAGATTGAGAGCTATTTTCACACATCGTCATCCTCATTATTGATCTGTTTTATAATAGACGTTTTTAACAAAATATCCTAAGATTTTTAAATTTTTGCCAGTCTACTGCACTCTATTTTCAGAATAGAATAGAATCATTTTTATTCAATATAAATTACAACAATAGTTATTAAAAATCATTTAAGCTTTACCACATGTAAAAATCTCTGTTTGGAAATCAGCAAGAAATCCAGTGGATTTTTTTAAAAGCATAATTTATAGTATAATATTTTATACGATCAGTATCAAAACATTTAGAAACAGCATGGTAGCAATCACCTCATTGCCAGGGGTTATTATGAATCATATACACTTTATAGTCCGGTCAATTTAGACATTCGATGATACATAAAGTTACAACAAGCTGATAATCGGTAAAATTGTTCAAAATATAATTATAAATAAAATTATGAAGTTTCCCCACCATTCTTTTGTATGGAAAAAATTAAACTCAAGGTCAAAGGTCAAAAAATTGAGCTTCGCGATTTTCAGCAAAACGGTAAGTTTTATCATAAAAATACCCCAGACAAAAGTTGTAGATCTTAAAATTATCTACAAAAAATGTGATGTATGTAGGAAAAACATAATCTATATATACGTATATATATAAATTATATTTTTCGTACGAGCCAGGCTGTTCAATTGTGTGATATCGCTTTAATTTTATTCCAATCTGCTAATTTCCGTTATTTTGCAATAGTTACAAATTAAACAGGATCGTAATTGACTCGTGGAATAGGCCTACTTGGGAAACCACGTTTAAAAACGCGCTAAGTTTACAAGTTTACAAGGTTACAAAACGTTCACAAATTTTACAACTTTTTGAATCGTAATATCTCCGAAACGGTGGCTCGTAGGAAAAAAGTATTGACACATTTTTTATAGATAATGTTATGATCTACAATTTTTTCTGTTTTATGATAAAACTTACAGTTTTGCTGAAAATCGCGAAAAACTCATTCTTTTGACCTTGAGGAAAAAAAAATTCCATACACAGAAATTGTGGGGAACTTCAAAATTTTATTTATAGGTAATTATATTTTGAACAATTTTACTGATTATCAGCTTGTAACTTTATTCTTATTTTCTGATCTAATTTGACTGGACTATTAGTAGTTTAGTAACACTTAACTAAACAATTTTTGTTTAGTAAAAAATTTAAATCTTGTCCTTGATAGATAAGGCCTGTATCTATCTTTTCTGGGACTTTGTTGTAGAAGCCCATGAGGGAATGATTGACTCTTTGGAATCGAATAACTGGTCTGACTAACTTGTGCTTGTTCTTAGTATTTACAGAATATACATCACTGTTGTTAGATATTTTAATACAACATTTTATGCAATTACTCAGAACGGATTATCTAGTTTTAGTAATCAATCTAAATTTATGAGCCTCTAGCTTAGCTCCTCCACAACTTCTACAGTTCTCCTTATAATTAATTTTTTTAATAAAATAAGGGTTACAAATGAGCACACAGTCCACCTGACAGTAAGTGGATTCTGTGACCTATAGACATTTACATCAATTCTTAATGAATTATTAAAATGCAGATGCATTGTCACCCGAGGACTAAACTGGAATGCCTCATATGCAGAAAAAAAATCTCCAGTTCTTATCAAACACCATACAAGTGTATTAAAGTGTTATTACAATATTAAAAACATGATTGGTGATTTTTCTATAAGGTGATCACTACCATGCTGTTTCAGGTATAATTATTATTTAAAAAGACTGGCAAATAAAATAAAAACAACTATTTAAAATATACCTATTTCTTCTGGGTTGTCTGGAAGAGATTGCTAAATAGCAATAAGACCACCTTTTGATTTTCCTATAATAGTTTATATTTTGTCATTTTTATTTTTCCTTGGTGTACAATGAAGAGTATTTTACTGTTTTGTACTGTACCTAACTATTATAAATAATGACCTAATCTTTAGTACAATATTGGTCTTTAATTTATAAACATATTCAATCTGTAACTATCAAGTCATGGCCCAGTCATTTGAAACAATGTTTTAAATTACTGGTCATGGTTATTTTAATTACGCGGAAAAATATATCACACTTCTATATATCATACAGTAAATTTAAAGTAATTAATGAATTTATAACTCAGTGATAATCAGCATTATTCTAAGGGTCTCCCATAGCAGGATCTGGCACTAACCCATACAATTCTAGATATTTTGAATTTTCTAAGAAACTTTCAATGTTTTAAGACCCCATGTTGAAATAGGGTGACGCCTGTTTAGCAAACTTACCTTCCTGATATTTGAATATGTTTCTCTGAAACATGTTGATCCATTGCATCCAACACGACATTAAGCGCACGACCGACATATGCATTGTTTTCATAGCGAAATAGGTAGTAAAGATCATTAAGCACACGAGTAAGCATTGCTGGGCGTTCCATGTAAGCCATGGCAGCAGTCAAAATCTGCTCCTCATTAGCATCACCAGAGATCTACGACAAAATAAACACTGTTTAATATTCAAAGTTTTATCCTAAAACCTAAAAGAAATTAACATACAAAATAGAATATTTTTCTTTATTTGAGTTTTTAATTCAAGCTGACATAAAGAATTATTCTTAAAAATTACTATTACAGAGCCTATGACTGTATTCTATTTAAAAAAAAAAGTAAGCAGAAGCCATTACACGCACTGTTGATTTCAAAAGTGAAGGATTTAGAACAGAATGAATAGGTATTTAATTGAACACTTAGAAATACTTTTTAATAAATAGAATTTAATTAACGATAGTTTTAGATGAAATCAATCATTAAAACATCATTATCATATGGATGTAAGCATTTTGAGTTTCATTTTATTCATGTTGCTTCTACTAACAATTTTATATATTTATTCTATTCACGTCACATATCTCGTTAAGTTCTTTTTCAATAACTACTAGGCATGGGCTTCTTTTGTTACATTACTTGAAAGATTTGCCATATTCATCACACCAGACTAATAAGTTGTCAATTGCTGAGCCTATTCTCATGCTTTACTAAAGCTACAATCCCATTATCAATCTGTTAAATTTATTTCTTTTCCGTTTTTATCTGACGGCTTAGTAACGCAGTGGCTTAGTAACGCAGTAGCTTAGTAACACAGTGGGTTAGTAACACAGAGGGTTAGTAACACAGTGGCTTAGTAAGACTGTGTGTCGCTGCAGGCCCGGAATAAGTGTTTTAAGGCCTGCAAATAATATTTTCAGATCTGGATGTTTGTCCTTGTGCAATTTATGAGTATAAATCGCCCTTCCGATACCAGAGTGTATCCTGGTGTACTTATTTCTTACACTGTAATGTTCTTAAATAAAAAAAGAAAGAAAAATGGATTTCACACTAACTGTCCAAAACCAATTTTTCAAACAGCAGCTTGCACTGCATAAAAGTGATGTAATGTTAACTAACATAGGTAAAAAAGAGGGAGGTTCTATATTTGATGCCTTGTTTTTTTATGTATGTTAACAGATTTTTGGAGAACAGAGGGATCAATTCAAATATTTTTAAAAAAGAGGGCTTTGGGGAGCCAAAGGTTTTTATTTAAAATTAAAGAAAAAATTGAACCCAATGTGGAAAGATAGAGAGTGAATTTCCATAACTATTTAGATGATATTCTGGATGTTACTTTAAGCTGTGATATCATACCTTAAGGGGAACAAAAGCATAAGTGATCTTACATCTATTTGCTTGTTTTTACGCCCTCAAAAAGAGCAACGCAAATTACAAAAACTCAATTTTTTTTCACATTTTTCTAATAAGTGTTAAGGAAGTTGTGTTAAAATTTGTTATCTGTGCATATTTACCTTTGAAAAAATAAATAAACAACCTACGCGTACATAGCTTAACAACTTTTAAACCTAAAGAAATGTAACTATTAATTTCAGTAAATGATCTTTGTCACAAAATTTTCAATGTTGTAATTCGTGTAAACATTAAAACATAAATTTTGCTTGTTCAAAATGATTGTTCCCCACAAATTATCACACTTACCGTTAACTATGTTACAAACTTATTTACAAATTAAAGCTCTTTGATTGATTAAGCAATGTGATTGTCTTAATTTCTAAATGTAATATCGATTACTTTTTTGCCCTAAAAATAAAAATGTCCTATTCATGTAAGCTTGCATACTTAAGAATTGTTTCATCGTGATCAATACACATTTCGCCATTTTCTATTAAAGGAAATTCTCTCAATTTGAAGAATTTATCTCGAAATGCAGATGAATGCACAGAACAGATTGACAAGCAACAAAATGAAATCCCATTATCTTCATCTATTACAAATACTGATCAAATTGTTACTGATTATACACGTAAAATTATGGATACAAACAATATTAATATGGCTGAAGCTACCAAGTCTCAACCTTTGTTAATAAATTCCCATGAACGCACTATGCGGCAAACATCCTGATACCATCCACACCATCTGGATGCTTGGCGGTTCACTACTGTACATTTCACAAGGAGTTTTCTTCCGCGTACGACCTCTCTGTGGAATAGTTTACCACTGGCGATTTTTCCGGACCGATACGACCTGGGGACCTTCGAGAAAAGAGCTTACTCCTTTCTAAAGGGCCCGCAACACACCTGCAATTCTCCTGGTGTTGCGGTTGATCATGGGCGGCGGTAGTCACTTAACATCAGGTGAGCCGCATGCTCGTTTGCCGCCTCTTCTATAAAAAAAAGGAAAATTTTAAGCCTAGGAAAAACACCAAACACTAGTGAATGGATATCTGTAAAAAGTAAGAAAGATAGAACTAAAGGTAGGGTGTATGATGTATGTAAATAAAAAAACTAAACTATCTTGTACAGATACGATGAAAGATCAGTGTTCATGCAAAATGAAATGTTTTGAAAATTTTTCTGATGGAGTATGAAAGAAAATTTTTGACTTGTTCAGGCAAATAGGTGATCATGAAAAGCAGTGGTATTATATATTAAATTATACTGAATCAACAAAACCAAAGGTTGTAATAGTTGATAGAAAACGAGACCAAACTAATACTTTCATTTAGTTTTTTCCTTTGAATAATGACAGGGCTTTAAAAACTGAGATTGATAAAACAATGTTTATAATTACATTGAAAATTAAAGAGCAAGTTGTTTATACTGTCATGATACGTACTAATAATGAACAAATTTTAGATTTAAGAGTTAAGTATACAAATCAGCTTTATAAAATTCAAGATAATACTTTACAGAACAGCATATTAAGTTTGTACACAATATTAAGTCCTTTCCTTGTATAGTCACATTACATCACATCTGGACATTTTAAAGATGTAGAGGCTCTTTCGGGGATATAACGTCACCCTGTCTTACACCTCTCTGCAGTTGGATAGGTTTCGAATTCTGGTTCTGTACTCGGATAGCCATCGTAGCCCTACTGTACAAACATTTCAGCACTTCGATATACCGACAGTTAACTTGTCACCGCTGAAGGGACTGTAGCACCGCCCAAATTTCGACGGAATCAAAGGTTTTCTCATAGTCCACATATGCCAGGCAAAGTGGCAGAGAGTTGTACTCTTCAGTCTTCTGATCTGATCTGCAGCAGGGTATATATGTGGTCTATGGTACTGAAGCCTTTTCGGAAACCGGCTTGTTCTTCAAGAGAGCGTTGTCGCCTTTCTTGAAGAACAAGACCAACGCACTTCTGCTCCACGCCTCCGGAGTAGTGCCACCATGGAGGACGGAATTGAAGAGCTTCTGAAGGATTTCAAGTACCGGTGTTCCACCCGCTTTCAGAAGCTCCGCTGTAATTCTATCCTCGCCTGGGGCTCTGCTATTTTTAAGGTGCTGGAGAGCCATTCTAATCTCGCTCAGACTGACGTCCGGGATATCATCGGAATAGTGTCGGATAAGAATTGCTCTTGGATCATTACTCACACTTGAGTGTGGCTCCAACGATGATGTGTACAGCTGCCCATAGAACCTCTCAATCTCAATCAAAATCTCAGGTGTCCCGGAAACGATGCTGTCACACTCAGTCTTCAACTTTGACAGTTGGCTCTTTCTGGCAGACTTTGGAGCCCTGGTTCCGCTCGATCGCTTCTTTAATACAAGCTGTATTAAAGTTGCGTAAGTCTCGCCGCATGCATTTGGAGATCCGTCTGTTCAGTTGCCTGTATGCTGTCAAATCTGTTGACGATTGCAGCCTCATCTCCCATCTAACAGCCATGAGATTAAGAGTGTGATCGGAGTTTTTGTATTCTTCTGTGGCGGGTCTTGCAGAACTTAGCTCCGACCGCATGGACAGTTTCCACGAGCTTGTCATTTATATCAACCAATGCATTGCAATCTTCTAGGCACTGAAAGCGGTTATGTAACTCGAGCTGAAAGTTTTCGGGATTCTGGATCAGATCACCAGGAGGACGGAGCATTGACTTCATTAGACGAGACCTCTCCAACTTAATGTTTAGGTTCAGTGTGCCTCTAACCATTCGGGGATCGCTGCCAGTTTTCACTCTTGTGATCACTGAGACATCACTGAACAGTTGGCGTCTGGTCGTCATAATGAAGTCAATCTCATTTTTTGTCGAACCGCCAGGGCTCGACCAGGTCAACTTTCTGTGGGGCCGCTTCTGGACGAAAGAGTTCATCATGAAAAGTCCCTCTTTCTCCATGAAGTCGGCTAGCTGCTGGCCCCAGTTTTGCGTTGAAGTCTCCCATTAACACCGTATAGTGAGCTTTGGAGGAATGCATGGCTCTAGAAATATCCTCATACATTTCCTCCACCTCCTCATGGGGATGTTCCGACGTTGGCGCGTAAACCTGTATGACCTTCAGCAAATACCGTTTGGTGATTCTGAGTATAAGGTACGCAACCCTCGTCGATACACTCCCAATCTTTGAAACGTTGTTAATGAGAGACTTGTGGACGATAAATCCAACACCTTGTGACAGATGGTCGTCCTCCCGGTGATAGAACAAGTTGCCGGATTCGAGAATCACCGTGTCCTCCCCTTCTCTTCGGGCCTCGGATAATCCTATAATATTCCAGCGCAACTTGTCCACCTCTTCTTCCAGCTCCAGGATCTTCTTGTCAGTCCTCAGGTTGTGTGCCTTAAATGTTTCCAAGTCGAATCATCGTAGGTGGCAACCGAACCTCCACCGGAGATTCTTAGCACCCCCTGCCCCGCCGTTACCATGGTCGCCACCGTAGCCAGGAATAGCGGGGCCGCCGGGGACTGGGGGCCATCCATTTGTGTAATTCTTCTTGGCAACCGCAGTTTTTTTGTGGTACAGTTACTGTTATCAGGAAGATGCTGCTGCCCATTTCCTGCCTGTTTTCCTCTGTCGCCTTTTACGACACCCATGGGAAGATATGGAGTAGTGGATATTCTTAACCGCCACTACACGGCCCGAAACTTTTCTTCGCTGCGTTGGAAGACGTTTTCGAGCTACTGGACTGGAAAGGATACGGTATTAACATCAATGGCGAGTACATCACTCACCTTCGACCCGGAGCCTTATGGCAGAAACCCTGGAGGACCTTAGCACTATGCTCAATGACCTCAATGGTGTCTCCCAACCGATAGGTCTTAAGATGAACATGGACAAAACAAAGATCATGTTTAATTTCCATGTCACACCTATGCCGGTAGTTGTTGGGAGTACTATGCTTGAAGTTGTTGACGAGCATATTTACCTGGGACAAATAGTCGGACTATTGTCCCAGGTAAATATGGACTATTTGTCCTAGGGAAGTTCAACTTCGAAGGAAAGGTCAATCGATGGATTCAACTCGGCTGGGCAGTGTTCGGGAAATTACGACACATCTTCTCATCAGGTATACCTCAATCTCTAAAAACTAGAGTGTAGAACCAGTGCGTTTTGCCAGTGATGACTTATGGATCTGAGACATGGTCCTTCACTGCTGGCCATATGAGGATGCTCAAGGTCGCTCAACAAGCTATGGAGAGGGCTATGCTCGGAGTTTCTCTGCGCGATAGACTGAGAAATGAGTAAGTAGTAATAATAAATGAGTCAGTAAAACCAGAGTGACCGACATAGTCCAACCAATTAGTAAGCTGAAGTGGCAATGGGCCAGCCATATAGCTCAAAGAACCGATAACCGATGGGGAAGAAAGGTTCTCGAGTGGCGGCATCGTGCCTGTATGTATAGTGTAGGGCGATCCCCCCTAGATGGAGTGACAACCTGGTAAGACATGCAGGAAGTCGATAGATGCAAATGGCTCAGGACCGTGATTTGTGGCATTCCTTGGGGGAGGTCTATGTTCAGCAGTGGACTTGTGAAGGGTTGTAATGATGATAATGATGATGAGAGACTCTTTAAAGATTGGATGTCTGTAACTGAATGTTTTCAAGGTATCAAATTAGGCAGTGAATATCAACACACACAGATATTCAATAATAAATTTAATCTTTCTTTTCATTGACCAAAAAAAGACATGTGTCAATTTGTAGTATATAGCTGAAAACAAAGGTAATATTAAATTACAGGGTAACTATGAAAGTGAATAAAGCAAAAATCTATTGTTAGAAAAATAAAAGATCAAGAAAATTCTGTATCAGATCCAAGTATTAAAATAGGTAAGAGTTTTTGATTTAGAAAATGTTCAAAACATTCCTCAATTTCATGTAGGAGTTTTTCATTATAATACAAAATATGCTCTGTATAATTTCACAGAGTTTGATATATTAGTATGGCAAGGTCATTTTTATGTATGGCATGAACAAATTGCTAAGAGAGGTGCCACTGAAATTGTAAGTTGCTGTATCACTTTATAGAAGAAGTCAAAACGGTAAAGAGTAGATTTCTTTCTATACCGATAATTGTTCAGGTCAAAACTGTTATTAAAACAACAAATATAAAAACTCGGAAAATATGCTAAAACAAAAAATATGGTCACTCTGTGATTTTGCTAAAAGAATTGCAAAACTATCAACATTTCAACACCTTGTTATCTCATGACTGCAAATGTATTTGAAAGAACTGACCTTCAGTTTTGTTATTTGTAACAGGGAGCAAATCAAGAGCAAATTTGCACAAAAGCTAGTTACTAATAGAACAAAATTAATTAACTTTAGAGATTAGGGTATTCTACCCTAATACTTATTTTAAAAAGTAAACAAAAATGTTAAAAAATTTCCATACTTGGAAACTTACTGTTATATAATTGATTTTGTAAATTACATTATTGATTAAATTACACAAAATGATTGCTTACAAGCTTTCTTCAGTTAAAACAATGGAGTTTTAATTAACTTGTATATATTTTAAAAACCATTTTGGAATAACTTGCACAAGGATTATTGTGAATAGCTTTTGCAAATAATATAGTAAAATTTATAAGGCAACACTGCAAATTATTTCTTTACAACTTACCACTTTAGCAGGTATATCATGTCTTTTGCAAGCTCCATGATGAGTTCCATACAAGCCTAGGAACTCTAGAGGGTTGTTAACCCTAGTCACAAGCCCTGGTATATCACAGCGTACATGAACATCTGGTATTTGACCAGATGAACCCTCTACAACAATCAAAACTGATGCTGCTCCAGACCCAGCTAAATTAGTGCCCGATATGTCCAATGATTGAAGATGTGGCAAACTAGTCACTATTGTAGACAATACTTCATTTGGATTATAATACTTTCCATGTCTCTCATTTGAATGTGATAAATCCAAGTGTCTCAGTGACTGGAGTGTTGTAATCCAATCTATAATTTCCTTTGACCAGGGAACATTGTGCAAAATAAGTGATTGTAAGTTTTTCAGCTCATGCAATGCACATGTAGACACAGTTGATGTAAATTCAGATAGATCTAGATGTGTCAAGTTCTTTAGTGGCTTCAACAGAAGTAACGGAAATATAGTCAGCCCGCGACATTGTATTGTTAGCCTTCTTAAGTTAGGCGCATCAATAATATGTCCTCTTTGACGTAGGTTTCCTTCTTCTTGAGGAGAGACATATATTAGTGGACCAAATTTAAGAGACACCAAACGGTCACTGTTTAGATTGATTATATCCAGTGATGCCTGTGACAAGTACTCACATTGCACTAACTCCACACTGTACGGTTTATGGACCATGAAGCAGCGTAGACCCTCATCTGTGATACGTGAATTTCGTAATTTCACGCGGTCTAGCCTTGTTCGTGAAAGATCGCGAAATAAGTTTGCAATATTATCGTTTACTCGGTTTTTCTTTTGATAAGTCTGGATGAATTTTTCGCATAACTCGGCTGGGAATATAATATCATCTTTAAGTTTACGCCAGCGACTGGTGGGATCCAATGTCGTAATTGTGTTCAGATTGGCCACTATGCAATCCATACAAATATCCAGGAGAGAATCCGGTGAGCTGTCGTAGAGAGAAAATACTTCTTGATCAGACGTCATTTTAGCTGCGGTAATGATTTTCCTTTTTTAAAATATGGAAAAATTACACATGAACTGTGGCACCATTTCACTACTTTATTCCCGAAAATCGTATAAATCTGCTAAAATTTTCATATGGCTCATTTTCAATTTAGTATATTAAGACTTCGCTGTGCACAAATATTAATAAACTATTAAAATACACATGAAATACGGAAGCAAATTTTCGCACAACGCAACCACAGAGTACTTTTTTATATAGGTGTGATATAGGCAGTGTTGCCAGATGCCTTGAACGTTTTATCTGTATTAGAAACTGCTAAAATCTGTATTAAATCTGTATGCCATTTTAACTTAAAATCTGTATAAAATCTGTTTATTCAAATAAACCAAAATCGAATTATTGGTCATCATCGTGATTGCTTCTCTCGAAAACAAGGGATAAGTACTAACGTTATAAGTTTTAATTATCTTTAGTACCCGGTTGACCGGTATTTTTCGCTCGGTTTTTTTTTTAATTCATGTGTTTTGGAAATTATATTTAGATACAAATTACACACTGATGAAATACGAATAATATTTTTTGATCTTAGCGACGTAATAGAAAAAACTGAACTGGTTATTTGAATAAAAAATCATGAGCGCAATTAGTTTAATTTAAATTTTCGTGTTTTTAAAAAATACTAAAAAAAGGACTCAAAAAAAAACAGATTTTCTCAAAAAAAGAAAGGAAATTGAAAAAAAACATTAAAAAAAGTCGGTCGGTCGGTCTGGGCTCGAAGCACGGTATTACGATTTTGTGACCGCCCAATATACCAATTAAGCTATTTGTAATCATTAATAAAGTGTCAAAATTTACCTTCTTATTCTAACGATATTGTAGCAGTTATTCATTGCCTTAAAAACACGGACAAAAAGACATTTTCTAAAAATAAATCCTAGCTAGATCGATTTATTGCCCCCGAAACTCTCTGCACACAAAATTTTATGAAAATCGTTGGAGCCGTTTCCGAGATTCCGATTATATATATATATATATATATATATATATATATATATATTATATATACAAGAAAAACAAGAATTTCTCGTTTAAAGGTATAGGATTAAATAAAACTATACACAAAAAATTTTATATAACAAAACTGAAAACCTTACTTAAACAAACAATGTACTAAAACTCAAACATTTGCAACAAACGAACTAATAATTAATTTATTATTTTCAGTCATACATATTTTTGTTAAATTTCAACAGTAATTCATTATCAACCTCTAGGCTATAGCAAGGTTTTGTACCAAACAGTTGCTTTGTATGTAAAAGACCTTCAATAGTATCTGTATTAAGTCTATTGCGTTGTTTTGTCTTTATTAAATTTATCGATGAGAAGATCCTCTCTACGGCGGCACTGGAACGAGGTATACTAAAGGTTGTAGAAACAAATTTCGACAGCGTGGGATATAATTGATTGCTTCAGTTAACAGGATCACGGGCTGCAGCGACTTTACACCAGTAGGTTTCGAGATCTTCTGCTTCATCGGGCGCCAAATCTTTATTATTACGCAAAAACCGCCACTCTGTGTCTAGTTGTTGCAGTTCATCAACTGAGATCAAATTTGGAAACTTTACTGCCAAAGTGACCAATGAATTAATTCTACGAGACTTGACAGCTTGTGGGTCAAGAAACTGCATTTGTTTAAACATATCATTGCTGAAATTGTACCTTTTTTTACCTGCTTTGCCCCTTCAATAAAAAAGTCAAGGCATTTGAGTTTGAATGCTTCAATATCTTCTTGATGTAGAGCGATTGAACTCGTAGAGACATGGGAGGCTGAAACCTTTGCTCCTAGGTAAAGGTAATCTATTGGTTTGTAATGACGTGGATTGTCAATCTGAATTAAACCGACTTCAGTTCGCGAAACGTATCCGTCGTCCATGTAACATTCCAGTAAAGTTTTAAATACAGTCACCATGTTTTCATGCATTTTATGAATTTGCGGCCGCTATGACTGCATCAGCTTATTCATGTTATTAAATATCTCTAAAGAAAACTCCAAAAACTCTAAATATAGCTTATTATATGGATTTTTTTAATCTGAACAATATCGAATCCGCATTCAAGTGGTCCGTAAGAGCGGTTTCAGTGAAATATAATTTTAGTGCGCCATACTGTTCGAGAATACGGCATACTGCTGCTCTCAGCGAAAGCCATCCAAAAATAATTATAAATGTCTCGTATGAGAGTTCCGGGCTCTCTTGACAATTTTAAACAGGCATACGATGCACAGAGATGGAAAGAGTGGCATACACACTTCAATACAAACAGGTGAGGGTTATCGGCAACTAGATGACAGTGAGTTGTGCCGTTCCATCATGGCATTCGCACCATCAGCGGCAAATCCGATAAGATTTTCCATTAGGATGTTATTGTTACTCAATTTTTTTTAATATTTTGGTATAGCTTTTCAGCAGTAACCTCTCAAGGGGTATGAGACAAAAAAATGCATATTCAACTTTTCTTTCAAAAAAAACGTGCTAATATGCATAAATGCTTAACACATCCCCTATCTGTGCTTTCATCGACGATTAAAGAAAATTTAAGTTTTTGTAACTTTTCTATTATCATTTGTTTTGCAGTTATGCCAGTCACATTTTTTACAATAGCTGTAGTTTTTGTTCTGTCACAACTAATACTTTTTGCAATTTGTGAACCGGGGCACATGTTTGTTATTAATTGTGGCAAGTGTTCCATGACGTTCATGGGGATATTTTGTTCAGCTATAAACGCTGCGAGCAAAATTTCTCCTCTTTTGACTGGTTCAATATTCTTGTTTGAAAATAAATCTGTCATTAATGTTTGCGAGCTAGATCCACCAGGACTTGAATTTACGTGTTTGTTTGTTTTCGTGTGTCTGAAAAGATCATTCTTCCCAGCACTTCCAATTGAAAGATCTGTGTTACAAAATGTACAAAAAGCAAAGTAATCACCTTTATTACTAGGTCTTAACCACGCCTTATAGGAAGAATCTTCCATCCAGTTCCAATTAAACTTTTGTATCACTCTCGGTTTTTTAGATGCCATAATGGTTCACAAAACAAAATCACAATCTCTCAATATTATATATACTTAATAAAAGTGCATCAACGTTTTTAAATATTTACGTATTACCCACGCACACACAACGCAACGAATGCGACAGCGAAGTACTTTGGACAGCACGCAAAAATCTTTTGAGGATTTCCCGAGCAGAGCGAGTGACACTTGTAATGCTGCCATACTAACTAATTACGCTGTGAAAAAATTTATGGTTAATTTTTTATAATAATAATAATAATAGAATCATGCAATTATATGTATAACGCGGTATCTAGTCATATAGCTTTCTTAATTCTGTTTTAAGTTGAATATTATGTTAGTTTAATCAATAGAACTAGAAAAGTCTGTATAAAAATCTGTATCCAGTGCTAATCTGTATTACACACCGAAAATCTATATAAATACGGAGAAATCTGTACATATGGCAAAGCTGGATATAGGTATAGGGAAAACCGTAGCAGGGTTGCCGTTCTACAAATTTTAAAGTCTCTAGACTAACAGAAAAAATCCGCCAGAAACAGGATTTTTCTTTTTCTTAAAATCCGCTAGATATCCCTAGGTATATTTTCGTGGTACCATTGGGCTAACTGCAAAATCTTGCCTAATGGTCAATGAATACCGAAAATATAAATCTATAAATTAAGTAAAACCTTAAAAGGAGCGGACTCTATTTCAAATAAATCAGTTACTTATAGTGTAGGTTAACGATATGACAACTAAAACAAAAATTATTCATGTACAAAATAAAAAAATATTGTAAAAAATAAATCTTAAATATTTAAACCACGTTTAAACATTAGTCATCTTATTAAAAATAAAACAATTAGCTCAGTTCGTTTTTGTACCTAAATTTCAAAATGAATAGCGAAGTATGGATCCAGATCTTCAAAAAGAACTTCAGCGGAAGTTGAAGCTTCATCAATGTCTCCAGTTCCCATCTTTGGTTTGCCTTTATCGACTTGGTTGACAACATCTTCGGGAATATCATTCATTGTGCAATTCTTTTTTTTAATCCTTAACTGATTTCTAACCAGAAGAATGGAATTTAAAGTTTTTTCTGATAGCTTGTTTCGCAGTTTGCTTTTAACTAAATTCATGGCACCAAATACGCGTTCAAATTCTGCATTTGAGTGAGGTAGTGATAATATTAATATTGAAAAATTACATAAATCTTCGAATATATTTCATACTCTTGCTGCATTTTTGTATGTCGAAACCTTAGACCATGGTCTAAGGTCGAAACAGATGAAAGTGAATGAACGACATTGAATTGTTAGTTTATGTTCGGAAATTCTCGTGAAATTATATTATATAATATACATTGTTACCAACGGTAGATTACAAAATTGAACATATGATAAATTACTTATTTGAAATGAATTACGTTATAAAAAATCGCCATCACAAAAGTCCAAATGTCGCTAGAAGTCGCTACATAATTATTTCTCGCTAAAACGATTTTTTTATCCGCTAAACATTATTAAAATCCGCTAGATCTAGCGAAAAAGTCGCTAAAATGGCAACACTGTAACCGTAGACAGAGAAACCTAGTCTAAGAGGGAAAACGCAACCAAACGCAACTATATATTTTTTATATAACTGGCTCTACACTTTAAACTATTATTCAAGCGACAAAACAGGAGTAACAATCCGTCAACGGCCAAGTTCCCGCCAAAACCCCCAAACACAACTACTATGAGAACGAGCAAAGAGTATACAGACTACTAAGAGGATACTACGCATGAGTATAGTAACTTTCTTTAAATGTATATACTAAATCTATGCTTTAAAGTATATATCCTCTCTCTACGCTTTAAATAGTGAGACCATGTAGGTTAGAGAGACCGCAGATTTACAATTATAAGTTGGCCGACTAAATCACAGAGTATACCAATAGGTATAGTGATATATGCTCTAACCCACACATCTTGTCCAATTAATTAATTTGACACCGATCGTATCAGAATCAAGATTCCCTTCCGATTACGCACAATTAAAAAGTTGCCCAACTCTGGCTAACTGCTCGTTAGCACGGTTACCCTATGCAAGCTCGCAGACTATCAACTTTGTTGGTTAGTCGCAATGCAGGATGCAAGATGAAGTGATTTCCCCACTCTCGGACTTAGACAGACGGGTGTGTATCTGCCACCCGATCACTTGTTGCAAACGAAAAAGTAGAAGAACTTATATACAAAGTGCAAAAAAAGGCCAGCGTTGTACAAAAAATATTTGAAACAATACGCTGATATAAATGTTAAAAAAATTATGGAAGAAAGTGCGAAAGCTGCGAAGCTTTAATAACTAATTGGGCAGAACTCTGTGTGAATAAAGGAAAAGCACAAGGTGGCTCTAAGTTTATTTGTTGTATTTGTTAATGTTTGTATATATATTGTTACGAGCTTGAGGTTCGTAACAATAAAAATTGCCGATAAAATTACCTAAATTAACACTTTAATTTACTTTACACAAATTAAAGTTAAAAACACTAATAATTAAACACACTAATTCACTTTATTCCGCTCCGAAGCTTCGCTTGTTCCGCCAAATCAACACTACTCCGATCGCATCTTGCAGCGCCTACTTATTTAAATTAGCAAAGAAATATCCAGAATGTTCAAGTAAACACGCGCAAGGTACCGAGCGTTCGAGTTTCGACTAGGCGCTGTCGGTTGAGTGATTTGTGATGTCATTTTCTCAATGCTCCCCTCGCTCTCGTTCCTGACACTAGATGGCGCTAGTTGACTTATTCATGCAACACTGCCCCCTCCTAAGACATGCTCGTCCCGAGCATTATCGGTCCCATAATAACGCGCCAAGCGATCCACATGGACGATCTTAGGAGTCCCTCTTGCTCCTTTCTGTATCCGGTAGGTCACATCGTTGATCCTGGTTACAATCCGGTACGGGCCGTCCCATTTAGCTTGAAGCTTAGGAGATTTCCCTTTGCTGCGGACTGGATTGTGCAACCACACTAATGAACCTTCGTTGAACCCTTTATTGTTCATTTTGCGGTCGTACCGGGTTTTCATTTTCTCACACATTTGCTGGCCCGATTGTCTGACGTGCTCATAAATGTCATTCATTTTGTTCCGCAAGTCATTTGTATAATCGGTTATACTGCGTGGGGCATCAGGTGGTATCCCGGTGATCAGGTCCGCAGGCAGCCGTAATTCTCTTCCAAAGTTTGCGAAAGCTGGTGTCACTGCTGTACTTTCGTGAACAGAACTTCGATATGACAACAAAAACGGTTGTATGTGCTTGTCCCAATCTCGTTGCCGATTGTCTACAACTTTTGCTAGGTACCTCTCCAATGTCTGATTAAATCGTTCCACCATTCCATCAGATTGCGGGTGATAAGAAGTCGTTCTTGTTTTATGAGTACCCATAATTCGGCAAGTTTCCTGGAATATTTGAGACTCAAAATTCCTTCCTTGATCGCTGTGAATCTCTAAAGGTACTCCAAAACGACAGAAGACTTCATGAACTAGTTTATCTGCAACTGTTGAAGCTTCTTGATTTGGAATGGCGAAGACTTCTGGCCACTTAGTGAAGTAATCCATCACAACCATGAAATACTTGTTACCGCTTTCACTCTCCGGAAACGGCC